ACATTCCTTCCCTTTGGAACCTGAGAACTCTCACTAATAAAGAAGCACCACTGAGCACCACAGTTCAAGGGGGAAAATATGGAAGAGAAATTTCTATTCATCAATTATTTTTTGTTTTACTGCAAATTTGGAAGGACTACCCACAGTTCTTCTATCTGTAGATCACTCTGTTCTAGCTGTTCTTTGGGAGCACAGTTTGAAAACTGCTGCTCTAAAACGTATCTTTGTTACTTGAGATGACCATCTTTTCACTGACTGCGAAAGGGCACTGAGCACTAGAAATCAGCATCTACACGAACCTGGAAGCGTGCATGCTAGTATCCTACTAGTGAAGGCAATAAGCTCATTTCCTCTAAAAACAGCATATTGCTTATTTGGATTTCAGCATGATTTGTTTTCTCTCATTGTTTTTACTAAGACAGTGATCCAAGGACCTACCAGTGAAGTCCAAATTTTATCTTAGTGCTGCTGCAAACACGAAACAGAGGAGAAAAAGTAACAAGGTAACCTTCTAAAGTCTGGGCTAGTAAGAAAAACACCCTAAGGGGGCTCAAAACATTCCTCCAACAGAGTGTTTCTCAATCTTAGCCTTACTGACATTTTGGGCTAGATAACCCCTCACTGAGGGGAGCAGAGCCCATAGCACCCCCAACCCAGTTGTGGCAACCAAGTAGGTCTCCAGACAGGCCAAATGTACCCAGGAATAAAGGGGTTGGGGAACAAGGCAAAACAGCCCTGGTTGAAAACCCTGCTCAAAGAGGAGAAAAATACCTGCTTAAAAAGAGAAGTGACAGCCAGAGAAATTTCTTAAAGAAATTTCTTAAAGCAAGGTTGGGCCAGTCAATCCGTTTCATTCTGGGAGATTAAAGTCCTACCTTAACAACCATCTTGCTCATCCAAAACCAAAAATCCGTTTACCTGGCAAGCTCCTAAATCTCACAAAAATCAATGTGGTTAGAAACCAAGGAAGAATTCCAATAGAAAAACTTACAAAGAAAATCATTAGTAACTTTAAGACAGTAAAAGCACACTCGAAGACATACTAAGTGCTTTTCGAAACCTCAAGGCAAACTTTCAAGAGGGCAAATTGGTTTTATCTTCTCTGCCAACTCCAATGAACTGGTAGCGGCTCACTGAAGCCCAGAACTGAGCAGGATTCTAAGGCTGAACGTGAGCTCAGGAAAAGAGCATCCACATCGAACACCAACATCCGTCACAAACAGGCAAGGGGCCGGGGTAACAGGTATGCCTCGCGTCCCCCCTATAGGTGTTGAACTCAGCTTACTTTATGCTCAAAATAACGCCCATCAAATCTGGCTGTAATAAAATATTTTGGGGAGAAAAAAGTAATCCTCCACAGTGTCACCAGACTTGCCTAATCCAGGGGCAAAAAGGATAAAAAGGAAGAAGTCTGATCTATCACTCTCCTGCTTAAGAATCAGCCGTGGATTCTCAGCTTCTACAGGATGACGTCCAAACCAACACAGCCTACAAAGCCATTCACACTCCACTTACAACACTCTTCTTCCAAATTTTCTGCATCCCCATTGTTCTGCATGGCATAACCAGCCACCAAATGTCTCACTGTTCCCCCAAAATCACAGGCCCTTTCATGCCACCTCCACCCCTTCTCTGCCCGGCTAATTTCTATTCATCCTGCAGATCACTGCGCTGTGACCCTTTACTTGTGCCCTGGACCAACAGTGTTCCCTAGACGGGCAGCATCAGCACCACCTGGGAACTGATAGAAATGCAGAATCTCAGACCCGACCCCAGCTCTGCCAACCCCAAAACAGCTTGGTAACAAGATGCCCACGTGAAAATGGGCACATGAAACTGTAAGAAGCGATGTCCTGGGGAACATACCAGGTCTCACTGGACTCGGATCTTCACAGGCAGGTACAGTGTCCCCCCAAAATCGAAGTGCCTCACACTTTGGCAGGCCGCCTCTGAGGCAAATCCCTCCTTTAGGAAGGGAAACACAAACATCCACCTTCCAGCCTCCATGGCAGCCAGAGGTGGCCAATGGACATGGTGGTAAGTCACCAAGATGTCAGCAGAAGCCTGCTGAGGGGGCGCTTCTGGAAGAACTTTTATTTTCCCAGTGACTTCCTGCCTTGACAAACATTAAGGCTAAAAAGCCAAAGATGTAATAGGGACAAGATAGCAAAGGACAACAGAGTGGAAACGCAGAAATGGTCTGAGTCCCTGTTAGGCCCTTTAAGCCACTGTACCGCATTAGAACATGAACCTCCAGACATACTGTGTAAGCCAATTCAACATCTTTACTGCTTAAGACATCATCATTAGGGCTTCCTCTTTCTCGTGCTGAATGCATTCCTAACTGATGGAGTAAACCGTCAATAAATGGGAAGTGAGTGAATGAACGCAATGTGAAAGCTACTACAGGTTCAGAAGATTATATGTTTTAAAAATAGGAACTCGAAGAATCTGTTGAACTTTGCCAAAGCATGCTTATAAATCAGCCTCTGCACTTCTAGAATTATTGACCCATTTCTGTTCATAGCTTTTTAATGGATTTAAAAAAAAAAACTCTTAAAATGCAATGGAAATGTTCACATACAAAAATGCTGTAGAAATTGATTTTTACATTTTGGAAAGAGTAGAAAAACAAACTTAAAACACTGGTCTCTGACCTTGAAAAGTTTGCAACTGCTGTGGCTACTGATGGGCAGGCAACTATAAGCAGAAAAAAAAAAAAGAGAAGGAAAAAGACTTACAGTAGCTGGTTGGTTGCCACTCTCTCCTACTTTCTTATTTTGAGATCTCTGACATGGAACTCATTTTTTTTTTTCCAGTCCCTATCCCAGTCCAGTACTTTCACTCAAATTTCCAAGACCAAACAGCAATCACTTTTTGAAAAAAAGAGAACATTAATAAATATAAGTAAAATGTCTTAAAAGGGGACAGGTAGGGGCGCCTGTGTGGCTCAGTGGGTTAAGCCTCTGCCTTTGGCTCAGGTCATGATCTCAGGGTCCTGGGATCGAGCCCCGCATCAGACTCTCTGCTCACTGGGAAGCCTGCCTCCCCCTCTCTCTCTGCCTGCCTCTCTGCCTGCTTGGGATCTCTGTCTATCAAATAAATAAATGAACTCTTAAAAAAGGGGGGGGTACTATTTCTCAACAAGGTGGGACCTCAACCAAGTGCTGAATCCTCAGATTATCATTTTGTATTTTACTAAAATCATTTAACTTAAATAAATTTTAAAAGATACTTCACAGGATCAATGGAAAACCAGTACCATTTGCCACAAAGAGAAGACAAGTGTAAAACCAAACACGATGAAAACACAACCTTATTAAATCCTAGCTACTGATACCTGCCAAGGCCTCTAAACTTAGTTTGTTCGGTTAAAAAAAAGAAAACAGAAAGGTAGGGGAGTGAGCATGAGGTCTTAAAGTCAGGCTACCACCAAGCTAAGACCTTTTCGTGGGCATAATCAGGACGAGCAGAATGGAAAAGGAATTAACTTGTTCACCATGTGATTTCATTCTATTTAACACCATATTCATGTCCCATCTCAAAGTATCCCTCATACGATTTCAAATCATCTTCTCCTCTTTTTCTCCCAAAATAAGAGCCCATTTCCCTAGCGCAGCCTAAATGGCCCTACACACACTGGCTCAGCCCACCAAGAAGCTCTCATCTAAGCTCTAAGGGCACCAGCAGACAGCAAACACCGACCCAAGGGCTGTTACCTAGCCCACTGCCTGTTTCTGTATGGCCTGTGAGCTAAGAACGGTTTGTAGAGCTAAATTTTTGTTTTTCTTTTTAAAGATTTTATTTATTTGCTAGAGATAGAGACAGGGAGAGAGGGAAAAAAGCAGGGGAAGCGCGACAGGGAGAAGAAGGCTTTCTGCCAAGCAGGGAGCCCAATGCGGGGCTCGATCCCAGCACCCTGGGATCACCACCTGAGCCGAAGGCAGGGAACACTAATTTTGAACTCCAATTAAGCTAAATGTCATTCCTTCCAAAAAAGAATCCCATTTCTCTCATTAGACCTGTATTACAAAGTACTTTTAGTCATATTTTTATTTTAGTCAATGAGAAATTTGTGGAAATTTGTTTTCTCTTGTTATATAAGTACCTACATAACAGCCTTGATTTTGCATCTTGACCATTTTAAAATATGCCCTTTACAGAAAGTTTGCAGATCCCAGAGCTACACTGTTAAAGCGCACCAGGCTCTCGTGCTTTCACGCTTTCCTTACACCTGGGAAGCAATTCCCCCTGATTCCTCAAGGCTGGTTCTCCCTGGTTACTCAAGCCTCAGTTCAAATGTCACCACTTCTAAGAGGTCACCCTAACCCTGCCCCCTCCCCATTTAAAGTAGCCTGCCCACACATCAATCCCATCACTAGATTTTACTTTCTTGGAACCACTATCTGATATCACCTTACCTTTCTGAAATCTTCAATAATAAGAACAATAAACGCGGCAAATACACATGGTACTATGTACAACGGAAGTGACTGACATACCAGGTTGAACCCTTTAAAAGTGCCAACCTGGAAGTCAAAAACAGTCCAAAATGGGTAACCTCACTGGATTCAACCTAACCTATCAACCTGTCTGCTGCTCACAACCACCTATGACGTGGATACCAGATGAGGAAACTGGCACAGAGAGGTTGAGTAACCTGCCTGAGGTCAAACTGTTAGTAAGTGAAAGAACGAGGATTTGAAGCCAGGCTCAACACTCGCATCCCCAAGAATGTAAGCTCCATGAAGACAGCCGGTCTTGTTCATGGTCAGGCACATAGTAACCCCTTAATAAATACACGATGAATGAACAGGTGCGTCTCCCTTACAAAGAGCGGTAACGGTCCCAGACTCCGGGTCCACACCCTTTTAGACCTGGGCGCTGGTCAGCCCGCCGCACCGCCAGGAAATGGAGGAATGCAAGACTTCGGGAGCCAGTGCCCCAGGGACGCGGGGTGCAGGGACCCTTCCTGGGGGCGGGGACGCGGCGGGGCTCACCTTGAAGTCGCGGCTGTGCTGCGGGGTGTACTCCAGGGTCCAGAGGGACCGCACCAGGTGCGCCAGCTGCTCGGTGACCTCGCCCTGGCCCTGCGTGCCGCGGCCCACAGGCTGCTCGGGGTCAGGCGAGGGCTCGGGCCGCCCCGCCCGGTACTGGCCGAGCGCCAGGTACTCGGCGAAGAGCTCGGTGTTGCTGAGACACTGCAGCGTGGCGTTCATGAAGCACGTGTTGCCGTGGTTCCGGAGCCCCGCCACCCCGGGCACCGGCTCGGCGGCGGAGGCGGGCGGCGCGGGCGAGGCGGGAGGCGGCGGGCACGGCGGCGGCGTGGGCGCGGCGGCCGGCCCGGGCGGGAAGCAGCTGCGGAGGCCGCCGCGGTCCGGGGCGGCGCCCTCGGAGCTAAGGTGCGAGAGCGTGGACAGCGTCTTGAGGACGCGGCTCATGAAGCTGCCCACCGAGCGCGCCGACGAGGGTGAGGCGGGTGCAGCCGGCCCGGGCCCCGCAGGGCCCCCCGCGCCGCCGCCGCCGCCGCCCGCGCGGCCGCTCCGGAACAGCCGCTTGCTGAAGGAGCGCTTCTCCTTCCCGCCCGCCGCCGCCGGTGGCGGCGGCCCGGGCCCGGGCGCCGTTACCTTGGACATGGCGGCAGCCGCCGACGCTCATCACCGAGCCCGCCCGCCCGGCCCGCGGCCCCGCCACGGCCGCCGCCGCATCCCGCCGCGCCGCGCCTCAGGGGGCCGGGGGGCTGGACGCCCCACACACCACAGAGCACTGCCGAGAGAGCCAGCGAGCAAGCGGCTGCCTGCGGGGCGGGCGGGCGCGCGCGCGCGATCCGCCCAGCTGGGCCGCTCACGTGACCCCCCTCTCGGCGCCGCCCGGCCCGCGCTGAAGCCGTGGTGGCTGCCATGTTGACTGTGGGAATGGAAGTTCCCCTCCAGCCAGACCAGATGACTGGCGGCTCCGGGGCGGTCGGGCTTTGTGAAGTCCGAGAGAGGCCATGTCTAGTGTGGGCACGGTCCTGGCGCGGCGGGCAGCGCTGGGCTCGTGCCCGGGGATGGACCCCGTGGGTGGGTCTCCGTCTTCTGATCTGAAGGCGAAGGCCTTGGGAAGGTGCGGAGATCAGGTTGCCGCCCCTTACCGGAGGCTGGAAGAAGTGATGGACATGGCCCTGACCCGTCCTGAGCAACCCAACCCTGCCAGGCTCCCGAGGGACCTGGACTGCTTGCGTGCATACCGGAACGCCATCACAAAGTCTGGCACATCCCGGAAGGCTTGTCTTCCAGGTGGCACCTTGGACTTGGAATGAAACGGTATACTCAGAATTACCTTCCTTTGCAGACCTACCTTTAAATCCCCGCTGAACTCTACCATCATTCATTCATTCAACAAATAGTTACTCCTGTATGCTAGGCACTGCTAGGCGCTGGGAAAGAATGAAATTAACACGATTTTTGCCTGCCCTCTTGCATTTTCCACACGCAGATGCTGATAATAGCTGCTATGTTTCAAGTATTGCTCTAAGCATGCAATATTTCCTTTAATTTTCAATTCAGTGCCTTTAAGATGTATCCATTTCAAATCCAAGTTTGTTTCAAAGCCCCAAGACTTGACCTCTAAACAAAAGGTCACAGACCCACAAATATCATAGGGACCAAGACAGGTCATATCAGTAAGTAAAGAATCATGGTGTTTCAGTCATGGTGTTGACCAAATAATACTTCAAATGACTTGACTGTGTTGGGGAGATGATAAGAAATGGTGGGGACCATGGCAAACTGCAAATCAACATCTTTCTAAAGGAGGTGGCTGCTACTCAGCTGATCCAGTTGTTTCCATGCAAAAATGAGGGCCCAGATCATCTTTTATTTTATTTTATTTTATTTATTTATTTGACAGAGAGAGACACAGTGAGAGAAGGAACACAAGCAGGGAGAGTGAGAGAGGGAGAAGCAGGCTTCCCATGGAGCAGGGAGCCTGATGTGGGGCTGGATCCCAGGACCCCGGGGTCATAACCTGAGCCGAAAGCACCCCTCATCTAACTTTTTAAAGAGAACTTGGGAATCCTGTTTTTAAATGTTGGTTCAATTAAAAAAGAAATAGTGCAGAAAAAAAGAAAAAAGGTACATCTTTGGGCTTCCTTCATCTCAAAATCTACTGGTCTGTGACCTCCTCTCTCTAGATTGTCCTTTGCTGACCTTTAGCCTGAGTCCTGGTTACGGCATAAGGGAGAAATCAGGGAGGGGAAAGCCCTTCACCTTTTTAAAACATAAACCCCACCTTACCTCACATTTCAGAGTAAATGTCTCTGCCAGAGCCTCCAACCTCAAGTAAACAGACTAACCTAACCTAAACAGACTAACATAACCCACCTTTATGGTGACCACTCCCAACCTCCACCCAGGGTGCTCTGCACTGGCCTCCAAATCACCTACATTCCCACCTCCTAGTCAAAATACCCATTCTTCACTTTGTCTTGAACTCATCTAGACACTAGGAAGAAAGCAATCTGATCGATCATTCATACTTTAGTGTGAATGCGATGTCCCTCAACCCTTTGCAGACATATCTGAGTTTTTTTCAAATATGAAAATCATGGGTGAGGAAGGGACAAAAGAAAGGAATAGCTTTTAGTAGAACTTCAAGCACTTTGACATCGCTTTTCTCATAATATCCAGCCATTATGTAACAAGTTTGCTTGCTTGCTTGTTTTTAGGTGGTAGGAAGGGTCTTGGGGCTGTGGTCTCCCTAAATATCAAATGGACTTAGAAGGTAGCCCTCCATTAGGGTGCCTGGATGGCTCAATGGGTTAAGCTTCTGTCTTCAGCTTGGGTCATGATCTCAGGGTCCTGGGATCGAGTCCCACATCGGGCTCTCTGCTCAGCGGGGAGCCTGTGTCCCCCTCTCTCTCTGCCTACCTGTGATCTCTCTGTGTGTGTCAAATAAATAAATAAAATCTTAAAAGAAAAAAGAAGAAGAAGAAGAAGTTAGCCCTCCATGAGTTTTCCCATGCTGCTTCTTATTTATTTATTTATTTGTTTACTTACTTATTTTTAGCACTCCTCCATTTTGGACCTAGATGTTCCTAGCACCATCTTACTTGCTCCAAATCCGTAAAAGACCGTCAGCTCTTAAGGTAGAGACTGGGTCTGTTTTGCTGACCCTAGATGCCCGGCATTGACCATGTTTCTGATAAATGTTTGGTTGAATGAATAAATGGCTTTAGAAGGAAATTGAGCATAGGAAAAGCTTTTCACTCCACACATTGTATGCCTGGAGCCCATCTCCAATTCCTGCCACCACTATAAACTGTGTAAGCCGCTTTGTTGTGACCATCCCCCACTTCAAATGCCTGCTCTTTACCCCTTATGCTTTTCTGCCTGAGGGTTTTCTTTCGCCAGAGGGAAGTTTAAATTAACAACTCCTTCTCCCCCAACAGAGGCAACCTTCAACCAGTGGGAGATAGCAGCCACTGGATAACTCCCAGGCCTCTCATCCTTTGGACAGACAACTCTAAGGTGTACTAATGGGGCTCTTCAGAGAGTTCCCAGAGGAATGCAACCGCATTTGCCCTCCATAACCAGCTCAATAATATACCTTTTTCTGGATTTCTCTACTGCCCTGTCTCCCTCTTCCTACTCTACTCCCTCACTCCTGCTTTCTGGATCACCTCCCAAATGTACTACCTGCACCCAGGTCTTTGTTGTAGGCTCTAAGGATGACCCAAACTAAGACACCGAGCCACTTAAATTAGGGCCAGGTATTTAACCAAAGACAGATCCGGATTTGATTTGATGAAGATCAGGTTTTCTCCTAGCTGCTGTAAATAAACTTTGATCTTATCTACCAACAGCACTTGTCCATGTGACTGTCCTGCTGACTGCTTTCCGGAATATCATTCTTTACTTTTACTGTCCCACGTGGCTGGCACACAACAGATGCTAACAAACCTCACTTTTTTTAATTTATTAAACCGAAAGTCAAAGACCAGTGGAAGTTTACCACGCTGCTTCTTTATACTAGAGACTTAGCCTGAATATGACCCCAATACCTAAGCCCTCCTCTCCAGTTTAAGCAAGCCACATGGAATCCTAGTTCATCATGTGATTCAGAAAAATTAGGGCTGAGCCCATCAGCAGATCTGACTTCCTTGGTTTAGCACCACTAGACAGGGGCTCAGGCTTCTCACCATTGAACATTGCCCCTTCCCCTCACCTGGTTGCCACTTCTTTTCCCACTAGCATGGAGCTGAAATTCAAAATGTAATCAGTGCAGTTTAGCTGTAATCCCAAAGGTGGTTTCCACTGAGTCCACTAAACTACGATTCTCTCTAATCTGCTTGCAGTAGAGTTGCCCTCCAGCCCCCAGCACTATGGAAAGTCTTGGTCTTCCCCTCACACCTTCGGGCAATCTAGACAATTGGGCCTTTGCTCAACCTCTTCCCTCTGTCTCAAACACATTTCCTCAAGCCTCTTCACTTAACTAACCCCTCCTTATCTTCTGCAGGCTCTCTTGGCACCTCTCAGTCACGATGCTAATGTTACCATAGTGGAAGTCAACTTACAACCCGTCCCCAGCCCTGAAGGGTAGGCTTCAATCCAACAGGGGCTCATTTTTTTTGTTATTGGATACCTAGTAAGGTAGCCATCATTATAGCATATTGATTATTTGGCAACAATATATCTAAATAACATGGGACCTCCTTAGTGGGACATATGACCTCCCTCCCAATCTGGCCCCTCCCACCATTCTGTGTTTATTGGTCCCCATGGGGCCCCAAAGTCAACCTACCCCAGTTTGGCCAGAGCAGGGTTGGAAAAGAATTCCTAATTGGAGCACCCAGATGGTCTTTTTTCTTTTTTTTTTTTAAGATTTTATTTATTTATTTGACAGACAGAGATCACAAGTAGGCAGAGAAGCAGGCAGAGAGAGAGGAGGAAGCAGGCTCCCTGCTAAGCAGAGAGCCCGATGCAGGGCTCGATCCCAGGACCCTGGGATCATGACCTGAGCCGAAGGCAGAGGCTTTAACCCACTGAGCCACCCAGGAGCCCCAGATGGTCTTTTTTTAAGACCTACCCCAAACAATATTCTACAGTAAATCTTGCACCGTCCCTCTCTGTACCCACCCCTGACCCCCACTGCACCAGAGAAACACAAATTAGAAAGAGCAATGCAGTGAGTAATCATCATGATCCAAAGTTGGTCCGTCCCTGCAAGTAACTATCTCCTTAAACGGACACCTTGGATGAAAGTGTACGCACATGTCATTTTTTTTTTTTTAGATTTTATTTATTTATTTGACAGAGATCAGAAGTAGGCAGAGAGGCAGGCAGAGAGAAAGGGGGAAGCAGGCTCCCTGCTGTGCAGAGAGCCCAATGCAGGGCTCAATCCCAGGACCCTGAGATCATGACCTGAGCCGAAGGCAGAGGCTTAACCCACTGAGCCACCCAGGCACCCCGCACACGTCATATTTTGACACCTATTGTCAAGCTGACCTCCAGAAAGGCTTTATCCGGTGCGGCGTTGGTGGTATAGTGGTGAGCATAGCTGCATTCCAGAAAGGTCTTATCCTGCCAACAGTGAATGGGAGGGAACACACATTTTCCAATCCCAAGACAGTGTTGAGCTTTTCACTCTTTTTATG